ACTACTACTACTACTACTACTACTACTACTACTACTAACACTACTACTAAACTACCACTGTTACTATATTGCCATTACTATTACTACTACTACTACTATTACTACTACTACTACTACTACTACTACTACTACTACTACTACTACTACTACGACTATTACTACTACTACTACTACTACTACTACTACTACTGCTGCTGCTGCTGCTGCTGCTGCTGCTGCTGCTGCTGCTGCTACTGCTATCACTACTACTGCTAGGACTTCTGCTACGACGACTGCGACGACTCCGATTCCCAATACCATTATTATTGCCACGACTACGACGACTATTACTTTCAGTACTACTATTGCTTTCATGACTTTCAGTACTAATAGTAGTACTACTACGATTACTTTCAGTACTACTACTACTTCTGCTACTAATTTCTGCCAGTACTACCACTAACACTGCTGCGAGTACGATCACCGGCACGGCTACGAGTAGTATCATTGTTATTGTTGTTGATACCTCTCGTGTTGCTACTAGTACTGCTCGTAGTAGCATTACTATTACCACGTACAACGACGACAGCAACGATTCGCATTACAACAACAACTACTACTACAACGACGACGACGACTACTACTACTACTACTACTACTGCTACTACTACTACTACTACTACTACTACTACTACTACTGCTGCTGCTGCTACTACTACTACTACTACTACTACTACTACGACCACTACCACTGTTACCATTACTACCACACAAAGGCTTACAAACAGCATCAGTGTCGCCACTACTATCCCTCTTACTAGTGGTAGGGCTTCTACCACTACGGCTACTATTCTTATTTTCATTATTATACTGCTACTACTGCTACCACTTCTACTACCACTGTCACTGCTGCTCTTCCTACCACACAAACGGCTACGAGTAGTACCATTGCCACTATTGTTGCTGCCTTCACTTGTAGTATGACTACACGTTCTCACACCACGATTATTCTTACTACGACCATCATTGCTACTAGCACCGCTACCACCAGTACTGTTAGTATTACGAGTACCCAAACGACTCCACATAGTCTCAGTACTGTTTCTGTTGCTGCTGTTTGTGTTATTAGTATTACTGCTACTATATCAACCATTCTTAGTATTGCTTTTACCACTACTACAACTAGTTGTACTACTGCTATTACCACTACTACTAATCTTACGACTACTACTACTACTACTACTACTACTTCTACGGCTGCTGTTGTTGCTACTACTACTACTACCACCACCACTACGACTACTCGTACTAGTACTCGTATTATTACAACAACTTCTATTACTACGACTGTTACTACTACGACCACGACTACGACAACTAAAACTACTACTACTAGCTCTACGACTACGACTGCGACAACACCACTTATTATTACTACTACTACTACTACTACTACTACTACTACTACGACTACTACTACTACGACTACTACGGCTACTACTACTACTACTACTACTACTACTACTACTACTACTACTTCCCAGCTGTTGTGTGATTCCCGGGTCATTTTTCATGGAACCTGTGCGGTCGCCTCAAGGGTTAAGATCTTGTTTCTCGGTTCTTGCATGGACGACACACATACGTCTAATACGAGCGAGGTCTTCCGGCCACTGCTCATTACCCCGGCCGACCGGGGGATGTTCCATGTCATTGGTGTTAAGTCACCGAACCTGGGAAGAGAGCATTGCCGATCCAAGTGGGGTGTGAAGAAAAGGACCCTGAAGCGGCATTTTAGGGCCCCTTTCGGGCCCCTGCTGTTTCCAAAAGGGGCGCCAAAGGGCCCCTGGAGGCCCCTTCCTCTTCACCGCCAATGTGGGTCACCCCCCATCAGCACCCGCCCGAGATAACTGGGTGCTAGACTTGTTTGCTCGCGACGGACGAGATGGGTGGTCACGCACCGATGCTGCCTCCAATTCTGGTGTCGGTCTCCAACCGATTTGGAGTGCCGATCTGTCGCTACCAATCGCGTCCGAAAACATGTGGTATCCAATGACCTCGGAAAGGGGTCGATACCGCCTGCTGTGCACGTTGCGGAATCGTTCGCACCGTCTGCTGCTTGGGTCCCTGGGCCGCGCAGTGCAAGATCGAGTACAGTCGGGGCGCTGAAGAAGGAACCCTTTTCGTTGGGGAGGGGCTCGGTGCTCCTTGAAGGTTTCAAAGTTTGCCTCGGGCTTTCCTGAGGTTTTTCACGGGAAATCGAGGTTGAACTTATGGGAAAGAGGGGCCTCGTTCCTTATTTGAGGTTCATTAGGTAAACGCCCCGACTGTAGACGGGTTCGGACACACCGCATCGCTGGTGCTGCCGCGCGGGCGCTGGCGATGGTGCGCGCACAGGGGCCCGATGGCGTCTGCCCTCGCCAGTGCGTCGCCGCCGCACCAAGTGCGACCCTCTGAGCCCGCTGCTCTGGAGCCTTTCCCAGGCCCCCCCTCGCGTCGTGAAGCAGCCCTGGACGGAAGGTGCGCTTCACATGACCAGCCTGGAACATATCCCTATCCCTATGCTGGGCATCTCCTCATCACGATGCCAATCTTAGGGATTCCCTTATTTTTTGAGGGCGGATCCCTAAGATTGTCATCGCCTTTTGGCGTGTCAATCTTAGGGATAGGGATACGTTCGACGCTGGTAATCATAGTATCGGCCCGTCAGAACACATGCAGGAGGAAACGCCGGTCCCGGGGCACGGGTCGAGACCTCTGGAGGTCCACGCCGTGAAAGAAGAACGATGTCGGGGGCCTGGGCTCGGAGCGTTGCAGGCAGGACACCGCCTTCGGGGCGTCGCGCCCTCGGCGGGAGCCAGCAGAAGGCCGGCGGAAGCCGCCGGCCGCCGGCGGAAGGCCGGCGGATGGCCAGCGGGAGGTGGCGGGGATCGACATGAGACGTATTTCAATTCGCTCGGTTCCGGAACTCAAGCAGCGGCGAAGCGTCTTGGCGTGCCTATAGGCCTTCCAAACAATGTTCTAAGAACCTTTTGTGGTTTCCACGAAATGGTCTTATCGGCCCTCACATCGGGCTTATGTTTTGTTCGGGCTTATGTTCTATCACAGTCTTGTTTTATCACATCGGGCTTATCTTCTAAGAACATTGTTTGTATTCTTGGAACATTTTGGGTTCTACGAACATGTCGTGGTAGGCCTATAGGATTGCTGGGACGGTCGGTCCCTGCTCAAGAAAACCCCAACGTCATGATTTTTCCATGACGCGTGGACCCCAGGAGGTCACAACCCATCCGCGAGGGCCGGCTTTCTCATGTTGAATCGTTCTTTGAAGGCACGGTCCTGGGGCTGGGGAAGTCGGCGGCGCAATTCGATGGGCCGCAGGGGTAAGGTTCGGAATCCGAACACGTGGCGAAATCAGAACTCTATCCCCGTCTCCCGTCGATTCGGGAGACGACGGTCGTTGGGGGTATGGCCTGGACGCCGCCACATGGTAAGGGCCCCCAGAGCCCGAAAAGAGTACACAAGCAAACGACCCAGTGGTCTTTGCGACGCGACTGGGGGATCTGGGTTTCTGGAATCGGCCAATATGGGCGGCCTGCCAGGTCACCGCCACCGTCGACAGCACCACGCCAGGCGCGGCGTCCGCCAGCAAAAGCAGCACCTCGACGGCCTTGCCCTGCAGGCCGGCGGAGCCCTGCAGGGCGGCATCGCGATCGCCCAGCCAGGCTCCAAGAGCAAACACGCTGCACATTGGGCCGAACGAAAGGGGGGGATAGGGAAAGGGAGGGTTACGAAATCTGCTGCATGCAGCTAGTTTCGGCCCCGCCGCCGGGACCATTTCTCGATACATGGGCGCCTCCCAGCGCTGGGAGGCGCCGGGAAAATCAGCTACGTGAGCTGATTTTCAAACCCCTCCTTTGCTACCCCGCCCTTTCGCCCAGCCCGAGGATCGCTTGGATCGGCGCTGAATTCCCCTGGCAACGCCTCTGGCGCCGCCCCTGGCGCGGAGGGGAGTCGGGCGCCGATCCAGGAAGTGCGCGCTGACCGTCCCTAGTGCCGCCAGGTGCGCACCGCGCAGGTCGCGCGACGACGACGACGACGACGACGCCGACCTCGACGCCGACGACGCCGACGACGCCGACGACGCCGACGACGACGACGACCATCACGACGACGACCACCACGACGACGACCACGAGGCGGAGGCCGCGGAGGTGCCGCTGCTGGCCGACGGCGCCGAGGGCCCGCCCGGGCGCGCGCGCGGGGGCTGCTCGGAGTCGCCGGCGGCCGCCGCGGAGGGCCGGCCACACGCCAAGAGCGCCCCCCCGCCAGGACGGGGCTCTCCCTGAGATCCGAGGGCGCGAGAAAGTCAAGCGGTGGCGCAGCATCCCAGCTCGCTCGTAAGCCTGCCAAAGAATGTGCTAAGAACTTTTTGTGGTCTGCACGAAGTGTTCTTAGAGCATTTCTGGCTAGGACTGTCTTGTTTCAGCTCATCGGGCCTATGTTCTAAGAACATGTCTTCTCTTCTTAGAACATTTCTGGGTTCTGTGAACATGTCGTGGAAGGCTTATCAGAATACCGGGACGGTCGGTCCCTGCTCAAGAAAAGTGGAGCATCGTGAAAAATCTCGACGGGAGCTTTGTAGACCCCATCTTTCTATGCTATCTGTGGATGGTCCCGGGGGGCCCGAAGTCGCCCGGCTCCCAAGAAGTTGCCGAGCTTGGCTGCCTGGGGGCTTTTCGCAATTGATTCCGCCCTGGAGTGGCCGCGAGGCTGCTCTCTAGGGCGGTTTCTTCCTCACCTCCTGCTTCTTCTCTCGGCCCTCGGCCGTGGGCGTCTGGGCCTTCAGGCAGCCTGCGGCAGTTTGCCGCCATTCCTCCTCCTCCTCCTCCTCCTCCTCCTCCTCCTCCTCCTCCTCCTCCTCCTCCTCCTCCTCCTCCTCCCCCTCCTCCCCCTCCTTACAACTAAATTTAAACGCCGGGATCTCAGGGGCGACGTGCGGGCCCCCGCGGGGGCGCCCCCGACCGCAGGCGGAGGGCGCGCAGGTGCCGCTGCTGGCCGGCGGCGCCGCCGGCCCGCTCGGCCGCGAACGCGGAGGCCCGATCTGGGCGCCCGAGCTGGGCACGGAAAGACTGGGTGCAATGCCCAGCAGCAGTTCTTGTCCATTTTGAGCAGGACTCGCTGTCCACGCCGCCGCGGCCTGTGTCCATTCGAGACAGAAGGCCGCTTGCCCAACAGCGGCCGCTGTTGGTTTGGGGCAACATTTGCTGTTGGGCATTGTACCCATTTCTTCCGTACCCATCTCCGGCGTCCAAACCCGAAGTGGGACAAATTGTACAAACGTAAACTGTCGGAACTCCTCGCGGACTTTTTGGATCGGTGCCGGCGCCCCCTGGCTCAGGAGCTACAGGAGGACGTCCACGTACAGGAATCCACGTTGGTTTCGAGAGTGCGCATTGCGCGAATGTTCGCGGCTGGTCTCGCGGATCGAGGGGTCGTGTTCATGGACATGGTTGGGCGCGCACGTCCACTGTGGGTTCCCCACTGGCGGCGCCTCCTGCCCTCCCTCTCATTCTTCCAGACCTTCCGACCTGCGCGGAAGGTGAGGAAGGTGATGCGTGTCTTGAAATGTCTTTGGATGTCTTGGAATGTCTTGAATGTCTTTGGATGTCTGTGAATGCCTTTGCTTGTGTTCGTATCTCTTGTTAATTATGTGATGTTGTGTTGCTGATGAGTTGGTTTTGTCAATTTTGCTGGTACGCTGCAATGACGATGTTGGTAATGCTGATGGTGCTGATGATGGAGATCATGGTGGTGATGATGCTGATGGCGATGGTGATGATGGTTACGATGGTTACGATGGTGATGATGATGATGATGATGATGATGATGATGATGCTGATGATGATGATGATGATGATAACGACGATGATGATGATGTGCATGAGGATGCTGATCAGACAGATGGTGACGATGATAACGAAGATGATGATGCTTACAATGATGGTGGTGATGACGATGATGGTGATGATGCTGCTGATGGTGATGATGGTGCTGATGGCGATGGTGCTGATGGTGGTGATGGTGATCACGGTGATGTGCCTGATGATATGCAGATGATGGTGCTGATGATGATGGCAATGGTGCTTGCGATAATTATGATGGTGATGCTGATGGTGCTAATGATGATGATCACGATTCTGATGATGATGCTGATTATGATGGTAATGTCGATGACGACGACCAGACTAATGATGATGACGATGATGACGATGATGATGAGGGGGAAGAGGAGGGAGAGAGGAGGGGGAGAAGGCGAAGGGAGGAGGGATCGAGGGAGGGAGGAAAGGAAGGATCAGGATGAAGATGAGGATGGGGACGAGGACAGGGATGAGGATGAGGAAACCCGCAGGGGCGCGAAGGTGACCATGCCTGCCACCTCCTGTCATCCTCCCTCCCTCCCGCAGCTTCGGCTCGCGCCGCCTCGCCCCTGCCCGCGTCCTCGCCCTCGTCCTCGCCCTCGTCCTCCCCCTTGTCCGCGGGATGGACTCCCCCGCTGTGCTGGTCGCGGCCCTCCGGCTGCGGCCAGCCAGCGTGCCGCTGTGCGGGTGGACGAAGTCTGGCAAGAAGACAGGCCAGAGGGGGAAACGCCATACCGATGCCGATGCTCCCCGCTCACATCCTAACCTTCCGCAGGAAGGTGAGGAAGTGAGGGAGAAGCATCGGCATCGGTATTGTGTCTCTCCCCCACTAGGGGGCCTGTGCGACTTCCTGCTGACCAGCGGCTGGTGGAAGCCGCTGAAGCTGATGCAGCAGAAGCGGCCTTCGCTGCTGTGGGACCTCGACCTGTATGAGCAGGCCGTCCACGAGGCGCGAACGAGGAAGGAAGAGAGGAAGGAGGAAGGAGGAGAGCGATGAGGAGGAAAAAGAGGAAGAGGAGGCCCTCCCCCACTCCTAACATTCAAACCCTTGTTTCGATACCTTCCGCGGAAGTCCGAACGTATGGAAGGTGACAGTGGATCCACTTTAAGTGGATCCACTGTCACCTTCAATACGTTCACCCTCCACCTCGAGGTGGAGGTGGATGGTCCCATTGAGTTTCCATTTTTTGGGGGTGAGGGGGAAAAATAGGAGGAGGAGGAGGAGGAGGGGGAGGAGGAGGAGGGGGAGGAGGAGGAGGAGGAGGAGGAGGAGGAGGAGGACGAGGAGGAAGAGGAGGCGGAGGAGGACGAGGAGGAAGAGGAGGAGGACGAGGAGAGGCCGATGATGCCGATGAGGGTATGATGCAAGGAGGAGGCCGATGAGGAGGAAAAGGATGATGATGATGAAAAGTAGGTCGTGGAAAGGGGTACGGGGAAAACCAGGAATGACAGGGTGAGCGTATGACGTCATGAGGGGGAGTGGGAGTGAGGAGGCGACAAGGAGGAGGCGAGGGCGAGTGGCGTTAGCATGGGGGAGGGGGACAGGAGTCTGGAGGATCGAGGTGCGAGGATGAAGAGGACGAGGATGGGGAGAGGATGAGCATAAGGAGTAGGGGGTGACGGCCCAGGTTCTCCCGAAGGCCGACCCCACGACGGTTTGTGGGGAGGCGAAGAAGATCCTCACGCTGGTGGCTGGCTGGCGGCGCATCAAAAGGCGCCACGACGCCGACGACGGCGACGACGACGACGACGTCAACGAGGACGACGACGATGACGACGCCGACGACGATGACGACGAAGACGACGACGACGGCGACGACGACGGCGGCGACGACGACGACGGCGGCGACGTCGACGACGAAGACGACGCCGACGACGTCGACGAAGACGACGACGGCGACGGCGGCGACGACGACGGTGACGTCGACTACGACGTCGACGACGACGACGTCGACGACGACGACGACGGCGACGGCGGCGACGGCGACGACGACGTCGACGATGACGGCGACGACGGCGCCGACGAGGCTCGGCTACCACATCCCGCCCGAGCTCGCCAAGCGCATGGAGGCGCAGGCGAAGGCACGCCCGAGCGCCCAGGAGGCGGCCAAGGAGGAGAAGAAGGCCCGCATCGAGGCCGCGAAGAAGCGCGCCGCGGACCTCGGGCGGGTCGTCGCCATGTGGCAGGGCTCCGACTCGGAGCAGGAGTCTCTGATGTCCGACGAGTCGGGCGACATCATCCCGCGAGGTGTGGGATAGGATTGAATTGATCTAGGAGTAGGTGGAGTATATATATATATATACATGTATATATATATATAGATGTATCAATAAATGTACACGTATATGGGGTAGGCGGAATAGGAGTAGGGATATGCGGCTGCCCTGGCCATAACACCGAGCACAGGGGGGCAAGAGTAGGTGTAGGAGTAACGGTAGAAGTAGGAGGCAGCGGAGTGGTGGGGGGTAGGGGTAGGAGCAGCGGTAGGAATAGAGGTAGGAGTAGGAGTAGGCGGTAAGAGTAGGGCAGGGGCAGAAGAGGTAGAAGCAGGGGTGATAAAAGCAGGGGCAGGCGTAGGGGTAGGAGTGTGAGGAGGAGGAGTTAACCAACATACCAGCACCCCAACCCCATCCACACCCCCTGGCCATAACCACACCCTAGCCACACCCCAAACACCCTAGCGATCACCCAACCATAACCCTGGCACCCTAGACTTAACCACGCCCCAACGGCCAGACCCTAACCCTGCTCACCCACCTCTAACCCTTACGACCCTGATTAAACCCCTACACCGTGCTCCGACTCCGCACCCCCCCTAATATATATATATGTATATATATATATATATATATATATACATATAGGTATAAGTACACATAGAACAACAGCACACCCTCGAAGGTGGCAGCGCTGTGGAGCCGCTCGAGGACAGCCACCCCGAGGGCGCGTCCAGCTCGGGCGCCCCGATCGCGGGCGCGGTCCGCCCGCCGGTGGCGCCGCTCAGGGACGAGGAGTTCGAGGTGCCCGCGGAGTCGGAGGCGCACGACGACGACGACCACGACGACGACCACGACGACGACGACGACGACGACGAAGACGACGACGACACTGACGACGACGACGACGACGACGACGACGACGACCACGACGACGACGACGTCGACGACGACGACGACCACGACGACGATGAAGACAACAACGACGACGGGGACGGCACTGGTCATCCCGCACTTCCCCCGCGCCTCCTTCGCCCGCGCGCCCGCTCGGAGGTAGGGGGTCGGCAACCCAGGGCACGCCTGTGCCCCTGGATGGCAGACCTTCTACCTCTGATCGGGCGGGAGAGCGAGGCGGCGATGGGGGAGGTGCGCAACGACCAGCGTCGTGCCCTCCGCCGAGGCGTCGAGCGAGGAGTGCGACTTCATCGTCATCAAGAAGTGGGCCTTCCGTCGGGTCGACGCGTTCCCAGCGGACCAGGTCTGCGCGGCGCGCGACGGCGCGGCTGTGTTCATCTGGAACGATGGCGACAGGTGGATGTGCAATAACATGAAGTGCAAGGACGCGCAGAAGCCGACGCAGAGGTCCGATCGGACGCCGCTGGGGAAGACGAAGAACACCGACGACGTGGGCAGCGGCTCCAAGGAGCCGAAGGGCAACGGCAAGGGCTCGGACGGCGCTGGCGGCGGCGATGGCGCCAAGGGCGACGACGCCAAGACGCTGAAGGGCGCGGACGGCGCTGGCGAGGCCGAGGGCGCCAAGGGCGGCAAGGCCAGGAAGCGCAAGAGCAAGGGCGGCCCTGGCGACGGCGAGAGCGTCGACGGCGAGAAGGGCATCGGCAAGGGCTCGGACGGCGCTGCTGTCGGCGACGGCGAGAAGGGCATCGACAAGGGCTCGGACGGAGCTGGTGACGCCGACGGCGCGGGCCGTGGCCGTGGCCGCGGCCGCCGCGGCAGGGGCAGGGGCAAGAGCAACAGCAAGCAGGAGGCCCCCGAGGACGAGAACGACGGCGAGAAGGCCAGCGGCAAGGGCGCCAGCAGCGCTGGCGCCCGCGGCCGCGGCGGCCGCGGCCGTGGCAGCGGCAACGGCAAGCAGGTGACCACCGCCGAGGGCGAGGGCGGCACGGGCAGCAACAAGGGCGTCCAGGGCGAGGACGAGGACGACAAGGGCAGCGGCGCGCA